AAAAAAAAAAAAAATCAGTTCCAGCTTTGTGCAGAGCAGAGATTTTGTGACAGTGGATGACTCTGTTCTGTTTCCTGTTACTTGGATGTCCAAGTTTAATGGTAAATTCCATAGGTGGGACTTGGCATTTTTAGATAATTTCCATATGAAATAATTTGTTATGGAAATCATTAAGTGACATGTTTATTGTATGAAAGGAATACTTCTGCTTTTTGTGTTGAGATATGAAATGTAAGTGCCTTACAATTTTATTCTGTCCTATAAACATAAAAACTGAGTTTGAGTGATTTTGCTGGTTATTTTTTCATTGAAAAGTGGGAGCTGGGTGCAGTGGGTCATGCCTGTAATCTCAGCACTTTGGGAGGCCAAGGTGGGCAGATCACTTGTCAGGAGTTCGAGACCAGCCTGGCCAACAGGGTGAAACCCCGCCTCTACTGAAAATACAAAAATTAGCCCAGTGTGAAGGTACACGTCTGTAATCCCAGCTACTTGGGAGTCTGAAGCAGGAAAATCACTTGAACCCTGGAGGCGGAGGGTGCAGTGAGATTGTGACACTGCACTCCAGCCTGGGTGACAAAGAAGGACTCTGTCTCAATAAAATAAAATGAATAAAATGTGGGCTGTGTGTGGTTGCTCATGCCTGTAATCCTACTACTTTGGGAGGCTAAGGCAGAGATCACTTGAGTCCAGGAGTTGGAGACCAGCCTAGGCAACATAGCAAGATTCCGTCTCCACAAAAAGTAGAAAAGAAGCCAGGTTTGGTGGCATATGCGTGTAGTCCCAGCTACTTGGAAGGCTGAGGTGGAGGATTGCTTGGGCTCAGGAGGTTGAGATTGCAGTGAGCCATGATTGCACCACTGCAATCCAGTTTAGGTGATAGTGAAACCCTGTCTCTAGAATAATAGTAATAGGCTGGGTGTGGTGACTCACACCTGTAATCCTAGCACTTTGGGAGGCTGAGATGGGCGGATCACCTGAGTTTGGGAGTTCGAGAGTTCAAGGCCAGCCTGACCAACATGGAGAAACCCAGTCTGTGCTAAAAATACAGAATTAGTTGGGTGTGATGGTGCAGGCCTGTCATCCCAGCTACTCAGGAGGCCGGAGAATAGCTTGAGCCCAGTAGGCAGAGGTTGTGGTGAGCTGAGATTGTGCCATTGCACTCCAGCCTGGCAACAAGAGTGAAACTCCGCTTCAAAAAAAAGTATGTAAGGCCCTTGAAAAGAATACAAAGTACATATGTAGATATCTGGTGTTCCCATCAAAAATAA